GAAATACTCCTCAAATTGATTTACAGATTTAATATACTCCCTACCAAAATTCCAACTTCCTTTTTTACAGAAATTGACAAGCTAATCTATGGAAATTCATATGGAAATGCAAGGGACCCCTCAAATAGCCAATACAACCTTGAAAATGGACTAAGTTGGAGGACTCACACTTTCCAATTTCAAAACTTATTACAAAGTTACAGTAATCAAGATAATGTGCCCTGTCATAAGGATAGACATAGAGATCAAAGGAATAGAATCGAGAGCCCAGAATAAATCCTCACGCAAAAATCAATTAATTTTTGACAAGAGTTCCAAGAGAATTCAATGGGGGAAGGAACAGTTTCTTTAATAAATGATACTGGGAAAACTGGATATCCCCATGCAAAAGAATAAAGTTGGATTCCTACATCACACTTTATACAAAATTTAACTCAAAATGGATTAAAAACCCAAATATAAGGGCCAAAACTAGAAATCTCTTAGAAGGACATATAGATATAAATCTGTGTGACTTTGGATTAGGCAAGCATAAAATGATATCAAAAGCACAAGTAACCAAAGGGAAAAATAGATTGGATTTCAACACAATCAAAAACTTTTGTGTATCAAAAGGTACTACCAAAAAAGTGAAAAGACAACCTATAGAGTGGGGAAAAAAACATGTTTAAATTATATCTCTGATGAGGGTGTAATAGCCAAAAAATATAGAGAATTCATAAAAAGTCAACAATGAAAAGACAAACAATCCAATTGCAAAATGGGCAAAGGATGTGAATACACATTTCTTCAAAGAAGATATACAAATGGCCAATAAGCAATGAAAAGATGTTCAACATCATTAGTCATTAGGGAAATATATATCAAAACCACAGTAAGATACTACATTACACCCACTAAGATGGCTATAATAAAACAAAATACAAAATACAAAATTAATGAATAAGTAACATAAAAGTTGAGAATGTGGAGAAATTGGAACCTTCATACATTGCTGGTGGGAATGGAAAATGGCATAACTGATGTAGAAAACAGTTTGGCGGTTTCTCTGAAGTTAAATATATAATGAATTACCATAAGACCCAGCAGTCTACTCTTGGGTATATACCCAAAAGAAATGAAAATGTATGTTCACACAAAAACCTGTACGAAAATGTTCAAAATAGCATTATTCATAATAGACACAAAGTGGAAAAAATCCCAAATGTCCATCAACTAATAAATGGATGAACAAAATGTAGTATATCCATACAATGGAATATTACTGAGTCATAAAGAGACAAAGTACTAATATATCCTATAATATGGACGACCCTTGAAAACATTATGCTAAGTCGAACAAGAAAGACATAAAAGGGCACATATTGTATGATTCATGGATATGAAATGCCCAAAATAGGCAAATCCATATAAACATAAAGTAGATTTTAATAATTGTCAGGGACTAGGGGGAAGGGTGATTGAAATTGACCCCTAACAGGTATGGGGTTTTTTTGAAGGGGTGTGTGTCAGGGACTAGGGGGAAGGGTGATTGAAATTGACTCCTAACAGGTATGGGGTTTTTTTGAGGGGGTGTGATGGAAACGCCTTGGATCTGAATACACATTTCTTCAAAGAAGATATACAAATGGCCTTAAAGTTAGATAACATATATGAAGTTAGATAACATATACACAACAGTGAATATGCTAAAGTCCACTGAGTTGTACACTTTAAAATAGTGAATTCTTTGTTATATGAATTATATCTCAATTTTTAAAATGTTTAAAATGACTATGTCTTCTATTTACATTCTGTTTATTGTCTGTTTTACCTTTCTACAATGTGAGCTCTTTGAGGGCAGGAATTTTGTTTTGTCCCTTTCTGTATCCCCAGAGCCTAGAATAGTACCTGGCACTTTGTAGGCGCTCGATAAATATTAGTTGAATTTTGTTATGTATATTTTACCACAATAAATAAATTTAGTTGGGAGAAGCTGAATTTGAGGACTGTAGTATATCTGAATAGTATTAAGAGCTCCATCTTGCCCCCCGCCCCCTACTCATTTCTCTTGCTCTTCAACAGGACCCCTCTAGGCTCACAAGTTGCTTTGCTCACACCTATTGTTTGTTTGCTCGACTCACTTCCTCCAGTTCAAATTCCACATTTCGACTTAAGTCTCCTTTTCCAATGAAACTTTCCCTGCCTCATGGCAGAGTTGGCCCCACCCTCTGTTTAGCTCAAGCGTGCATCTGGACATGCCTGCCACTGTGGTCACTGCCCTGCAATGCAACCGTCTTTACCCCTTTCATACTGGAGCTCCTTGAGAGTGATCATTGTGCCTAGTCCACTTCTGCTGCACAGTTCCAGCATCTCAAGAATTGTTCCTTATGTGTCCATTTAGGTACCTCCTTTCACTCCAGATGCCCGGAACAATTAAGTATGCCATCTGGGTATCATCACGAGGTACCCACTCACATACTGCAGAAGGACTGCTTTCTGTTGCATCTCTCCTCTCAACACTGACTGAGTCCCTACTATGCACCAAGCATGTAGTAGGTCTTGCAGAGATAAAGATGTGCAGGACCTGGTTCCCACCCCTGAGCAGCTCACAGTTAAGAAGGAGAAAAGGCACAAAACCTGTAACTGTCATAAAGTGTAGTGCTGTGCCAGAGGCAGGAACAAAGTGCTATGAAAACACAGAGGGAAGAGCAATTAACTTTGTCTGGGAGAGAGGGAGGGAGGCCGGGATGTGGAAGGAATAGAAATGACATCTGGAGCTGGCTTTAAAGGACGAGCAGAAGTTCACTAGAGGGCAGAGGAAGATGGCATTCCAGCAAAGGTCCGGCCTCGGCGGTGAAAGAGAAGTAGTCTGGAGTGGATCAGGGAGGGCCGCATGGCCAGAGAAAGTGCAAAGGAAGGTGATGGCTGTCCGTCCAGGGCCTTTAGTGCCAAGATATGGAATATAAACTTTGTTTAATAAGCAACACAGGCTCTTGGGAGGTCTTTTCCAACAAGGGAGTGACGAGAATAGACTGGTTTCAGAAAAATTACTCTTAAAAAAATAACAAAAGTGTATTGGCAGTGGAGTTAGAAAAATCAGAGTCAGGTCAGGGGTCTATTGTCATAGTCCAGGGAAGGGAGTTGAAGGGTCTGATGAAAGCAAGGACAGTGGGGACAGAGAGGAGGGGACAGAGGTAAGGACTGCACAGCGAGCTCCCCAAGGGGAAGCTCCGTTTCTCCAAACAGTGCTTCTGCCATGCCTGATGAGGGTCTTGTCATGGCAAAGCTGCAGCCCTCACGGAAGCCCAGGGGAAGCAGCACTGACCCTGGTGTCCTCGTGTGCTCTTCACCACGACCGGGTAGCCCAGGGGTTCGGCTTCATCAATCATTTTTGAAAAGTCTTCATGCCCACCTGCCAAGAAAAGGTGAAAGTCAGTGAAGGTAAGACTGATGGTCGGGGAATGGTGGACCCAACAGGTATTCTCTGTGGGAATTGTTTCAAGGTCTCATGTCTCTAATTAAAGCAATTCGAACCCATTCAGTCTGATACACATACATTGTGTACCAGTAATACAAAAGATGGGAGCAAAGAGATAAGGAAATCAACATTTATCAAGGACTTCTAGGTGGTAAAGGCTTCACATGCTCTAGTTCATGTAATCCTCATCACAATCCATAGGCAGGGCAAGTGTTTTTCCCCTTAAAATGGCTGCAGCAGGCAGAATTCTAAGACGGCTCCCGAGATTCCTATCCGGCGGTGTACACACGCCGTATAAGCCCCTCTCTTGAGTGTGGAAGGGTGTCCCAAATTGAAATGATCTCTCCCCGACAATCCCTCACCCCCTGCCCACAAATCTGTTTCTCCTCTCCTATGTTTCTAGTCTCAGTGAGCTTTCACATCTGATTGCCCAAGCCAGAAACCAGAGTCCCTCTTGATTCCTCTCCATACTACTCCTATTCCATTAATCATCATGTCCTATTATTTCTATTTCCTTTATAATTCCTGAATCTGTTCACTTATCCTTATACTTACCATGGCCACCTTAATTTACACCATCATTTCTCTTTCGAATTGTTTTAAAAGACTGCTACTACAAATTTTGTCTCTGCTTTGCCTCTGTCTAATTCTTTCTCCACAGTGTAATCAAAGTGATATTCTGAACTTGATCAGGCCACATCCTTCCTTAAAGACCTCCAATAACTTTCTGTTAGTCTCAGGATTAACCCTAATTCTCCTTCGTTTACTGTCTATAGCTTCTGCTTATCTTTCCAGCCTTATATCTTAACTCTATCTCCATTTAGGTTCTACAAACTACTCAAAATATCACCAATTGGTCATGTTCTCTCTTGCCTTTAGGTCTATTTTCTTCTTTCTACTTAGACTTCTCCCCTGCTGCCCTTGCTTTAGCTGGGTAACTTCAGTTTAGCTTAGATATTATTTCTTTTGGGAAGTCTTCCTCAATATTTTCTAAATTCATTAGGATCTCTCCTTTGTATTCCCTTCCCACTTTGCACTGCACTGAACTTGCCTGTTTACTTGCTGTCCTCTGCCTCTGATGAACTGAGAAAGCCTTCAGAGCAGGACTCTTAACTTACTGCTATTGCCTTGTGCCTAGGATGGTGGTTGGCATGTAGCGTGTACCAGATACATATTTAATGAACAAATTACAGAGAGAAAGCAACAAAGGCATTTCAGACAGAAGGAACGACCATGATAAAGACTCAAGGTGCTGGAACAACTAAGATGAATAGCTCCATATTGAAAACCAATAAGATACTTGAGGGCTTCTGGGAAAAGAAAACATAGAGATATAGCTGGTTTGTAAAGATAAACTCCACCCCCATTTCGAAGACACTCACCATAGGAGAAGGTGTCTGGCATGGGGACCCCATGTCCAGCCAGCTCTTGGAATGTCCAGAATTTGTTGATGCAGTTTAAAATGCTCTGTGGGCGGTTGACTAAGCGGCAGCCCAACTTCTCTAGGTGTCGCAGGACCGTGATGTCACTGTCCGATTGCATTGAGGGTGTGGATACCCGAACGAGCACGACATCTGGGAAAGTGGTGAGTGCCTTCTGGTTCAGCTGTAGGCCTATAATTGAAGGACAAAAGTAAACTCTGTGCTTGCTGTTGTCTAGTCCCACCAGAACTGGTTCCAAAAGATTCCTCAAGACTGAACCTAGCAGGAAGATAGCCTTGATGGCACTTGGATATCCTGCTGTAACAAGAAAGCTACAGTCAACCCTATACTCCAAACAAATGGGCAGAGTATGATTATGAAGAAACACAAACGAATGAACAGAGGAAACAAAAAGGTAGCATATCAAGAATAATCCATGTTAGAAGAATCCACAGGAGATAACACAGTCCAGCGTCTTCCTTCCATATAGTACTAGTATTACTCGAAGTATAGTGGCTTAGGAGGCTGGATACTTAATGAAAAGGAAGCACTACAGCTCACTTAAGGAATCCTTACTACTCTTTTATGACTTAACCTTTGAAAGTCTATCTGAAATATTATGTAACCACTTAAATGATTTGGATGGCTATAATGAATGCAAAAATATTAATGTCAAGTGAAAAAAGCAGGATACGAAATTATAAATACAAGTTAGAAAAGGCTAAAAGGAAATATACCAATATTTTAACAGAGAGTAATAGGATTATAGGTGATTATCTATTTTATACTTATCTGTATTTTCCAAAATGTCTCCAAATACACATTAGCTTCAAAACAAAAAGTTTAAAAAAATCAATCTACTAAAAATCAATTCAACATTAAAGAAAACTAGAATGCATCCAAAGACAATTGATTCATATAGCAAAGGGACTTGAACTTGTATTACACTGGAGGAACTAAGAGTATCAGCTTGAAGTGAGGACTCAGAGGAACAGGAGTACAGTCTTCAAGTATCTGCAGGGCGTCCATGAAGAACTATTTGGCTTGTCTTCTATAACACCAAGAGATAAAGCTATTCATGAACATTACTTTGTTTGTTCACTCCTGTATCCCCAGCCCCTAGAACAGTGCCTGGTGCATGAGAGGCACTTGCTGTTTGTTGATATATACAGAAGCTACAGGAAGACAGATTTGGGCTCAAAAAACAGGGACACTTTTCCACTACCTTATGATGGAATGAGCCGAGGCTCACTGGTCACCTGAGGATGGCACAGAAGGAATGTGAGGGTCAGATAAGCTTACAGCAACCTGCTTAGTTAGTCTCTTTCAACCCCGATATCCTCTGATTTGTATTACTGTAAGTAGTTACCTAGGCATCTACGGTGTACCCAGCATCCGGGGATGGAATGTTGCAGACATGAAATAGGATTGGCAGGGTAATGAGAAGTGAGTTCAGGGAATACCTTGGTCTGCTTTAGTGAATCTTAAAGGAGTTTCAAAATGCTCTAAGGAAAGCTTTGAAACACAGTTTCAGAATAACCACACTTCTACTTCATAAGTGATATACTGTACATATAATTCCAAGAAAACAAAAGGTATTTGTGAAATTACTATTTCTCCACTGGGGCATAAATAATATTAATACAAAAACTCTAAGCAAAACAAAACAAAACAAAACAAAACAAAACAGAAGCAAACAAACAAAAACCCCACAAAACTACCGTATGAGTCTAACTTGCAGTTTTCCCTCATCGTAGGGGATATTTTACCAATTTAAAAAAATGGAGTAGTTGTAATCATTAAGATAAATTGTTTTTAGTACTTCTGCTGATGCTGTGAACCCAAGGCACTGGAACATAATTTTCAGGGATCATTTATAAAGAACATTCAAGTTATCCTCACTTCGCCATCAGAAAACAGTATCTCACATATGTCTTTTCCTTTGTCACTTATAGCTTCTGCAGAAAATAATACAAAAGGAGAAAAAGCAAGCCTGAATAGCATACTCAAAATTGACAGAAGAAAGAAAAGTATTCAAGTTGGTGCAAATGGTGAGTAAATACAGAACACTTAGGGAAAAAGCAACAGCCCAGGACAATGAGATAATATATGTAAAAATGCTTTTAAACTACAAAATGCTATACATATGTAAGGCGTTGGCATTATCATTGCACAGACATTCTACTAAGCAAGGTAGGACAATTGATGGAGATTTGTACTACCTGATGAGAAAAATGGCTTTGCAACAGAAAAGTGACCTAGAGAAATGAGAAGCAGCAGAAACGTCTGGCTTTTAAATCCCAACACAAGACCACAGACAAACAGTTACACTTCAAAATGCGAAGAAAAATATTCAATCATTTCTGGAAATACCAACCACAAGTGGACAGAGACAGCTCAGCCTCAACAAGCAGATTCACATAAACCTAGGAAGTCTTACCAGGACTTCATTTCTCTTCTCCAAAGGTAAATCTTAGGGCCTGGCTCATTCCAACTGAAGCCTTTAATAAATGAAGAATGGAATGGGTTAAAGTGTAGCTGAAAAGGCTCTACCAAGCAGTTAGACAGGTGCTGGCTGTCCAGCTCTGTGCAGAGAGGGACGTGACAGGCTAAGGGATATAGTGCACACACAACCAGTTACTTCTCTGCCTACTGACACGGCTCCAGCATTCTTGCTATGGGCAAATTCATTTGGCCTCTATTCATCCCCATTCTCTGCTATCTAAACCTAGTCTAAGTCACCTTTTCTAGAAGTAGTAGACGAGAGGCTGCCACTCACTGTGGCTTCAGCGGAGACAGCAGTTCTACACAGACATGGCCAAGAACAACTTAGATTTAAGGCTGGCCCTTGGCAAACCTGTCAGTGAATTCTGAGACCTTCGACCACTTAAGTAATCTCTCTCCCTCCCTTCCTTAATATCTCTCCTTAGGACAGGATCTGATAAACAATACAGGTTGGACTTTAACCTACAGACTTCAAGCCAAGGGAATGAAGAGCTGATGCAAGACATCAGGGAGAGTAGGGTTCTGCTTGGCTGTCAAGTGAATGGAAGGAAACCCCTCAGCAATGAAAGGCTCATGCCCTCAAACCACAAGGGATTTCATTAGCTTCAGTGTCCTAGTGCTCTTGGCCATCACCTTGACCTAGGAAGAAGGGCAGGGGAAAGGGAGCTGAATTGCTTCGGGGGTATTTGGGGTCTACCAGACTCTGAGATTGGGCTTGAGGTTTACTGTTTAGCTTCGAACTACTTTTTTTTTTTTTTTTTTAACTAAAATGATCACTCTGTTCCCAAACAGGTCAGTAAGACAGTGAAAAAGATCAGACCCTAAACTGGTTAGTACAGTGACCAAAAGCCAACCTAGTCTAAATCGACTTTTTGAAACCACAATATTTTCTCCATATTACTTCTAAAAAGAATAATCTATTTTCATGGGTAATTATGTTCTGATTTCCTTTAAAGCTCTCTACTATTTATAATTAGAAGTATTTTAATGTATTAAAAACAAGATAGAAAAATAAGTCACTTTCCCTAAAGAACTGAGCCTGTTTTTTCTAACCTATATATCAGGCTAAACTAAGTTAATTCTATAAAACTAGACTTCTGTATTTGTATGTACAACAGCAAAGAAATGCACTTTTATAATATATAGAAATAGCTTTAAAAATAATAAAATCTTTATTGGAAAGTAGAGTTCTAAAAATTAAAAACCATTCTCAATCATTCACATCAACAGAAGGAAGCAGCAGCATGAATAATCAAAGGCGTAGTCATTCAGACCTGAATTTGGCTAGCATTTTCATTGAGCACCTGTTGTATTTTAGGTACTTTGCTAAGAACTTTCACATATATTATCTCATTTAAATTAAATGTGTCTTGTAATATGGATCCCTGCAATAGCTCTAACTGTAAAAGTCTTTGCGTTTTCACATAAGCGATGCATAACAGGTCACCACCCTCCCAACCCGCGTACACTCAGCTCTCACTTACGTGCTCACACATATATGTCCTTAGCTTCACAAAAGAAACTGGTTTCTAGGATGCTAGAAAAAACCCTCATGTACAAAGCAAGCAGCAGAAATAGAAAATAGTAGGATGCTGTAGCATGAGAGGAAGCAAGAACCTGTTATGGCGGCTTTTCAAAACATTATATATTAGCAAGATCAGGTAACAACAGTGGCTGGTAGTGAAGCTCTAAAAGTTGTCACAAAGGAATCAATAATATAAATAAAGTAAGTGGATAATCCATAAAGGGTTTCATATTATCTTGCTGTGTTATGAGAAAGATGTATCATCAGAAACAAGATCTGGCTCATCTCACTCTGGTTTTCCCTGGTTTCTTTCTACCCGCCCGTCAGCATTTTCTCATAAGGAAATTACTTTTCTCGTAAGTAAGTTATTTTTATTCTTAACAAGTAGATGCCATCGCCGCTCCTTCTTTCCCTTTTAAAGTTCTTTGTTACAATGCCCAAAGAAATCTCACCCCCACCTCATTAAAACCCACAGTCAGTTATGTGGCCACTTTCTCTTTCTATCAACTGCTATTTTGAGGTTATTTAATTTAATGTAACCTTTACTGAACTGTTGGGATGAGTCAGACACACTATTAAGCAGGAATACAAAGATGAACCATGTAGTCTTTGCCTACCAGGAGCTTTTAGTCTCCTTTCGGAGAAAGATATAGACACAATTTAAATATTCATTCATTCGCTCGCTCAACACACATTGTTTCAGGCATTCATTCAGCCAATATTTACTTAGCACCAACTTAGCCTAGTGTTAGTTTGGGTTTCCCCAGGAGCATTCCCAGAAACAAGGATTCTCGTGCAAAAGGTTTATTACTAGGGTGGTACAATCAGGAAACACCAGTAGGGGAGTAGAGAAGGGAACAAGGCAATAAAGGGTCTTATCAAGTGAGCAACCACCTCAGCAACTGGGGGCTTCATCCTGCTGCACAAGAAATGGCTCGGTGCACGTGCCTCAGTTACCCCACCCAAGGGGCAAGGGATCTAGTGAGCTATGATTTTTATACACCAATTCAGTCTTTGGTTGAGGGCTGCTCCAGGGGCATGGTGTCAAATCCCTGGTTCTTCTGGCTCGCCATGCATGTATGGGTGAAGTAGTTTCCTATGACAGGGAAAAGCCCTCAGACGGATTCAGATGCTGATGGTTAGAAGTGGAGCCCCAGTGCCA